TCCTAGATCACACATGCCCTATGCTTATCTGAGACCCTCTCTAGTTCCAGCCTGCTTGAACAGCTCAGGAGTACTTAAGGGCTTCACACTTAGTGTTTTAATTTTCAGTTAATTTGTGCTACTGGGAGAGTCAGTGACAAGCAAAACAGTATATGTGCTCTTGCATTTGGTTATGGGGTATTGGGGGTTTTTTAACTTTCTCTTATTTTTTATAAGAGTTTTGAGCATACGGTCAGCCAATCTTGCATGTGTTCGGCAGGGTTATGGTGTGTTTTTGTTTTTTAGAAGAAGTGCAGTAACAAAAATCTGTATTTCCTGTAGTTAATTAAGTTCTTACATCTCCAGTCCTAGAAGACTCTTATCCTATACCCTCTTGTCAGCTGGTGAGGCCATGAAATACTCAGTGGTAACAGACTAGTTAATCTAATTACTCTGAAGTAGAGGGTGTGGAAACAAAAGCATTAATTTTGATTTTGTCTTAATTCATAGTTATATTGGCTTTTCTTTCCTTCCTGTTTTGTTTGAGTTTATATAAATGAAAATTTGTCATTCTTTAAGTTTTTGCATGGTTTCGGGTTATATGCAAAACGTATTTATGAAAAGATGATGTGACAACCATGTTAGATGTATGCTCGATGAATTAAATAATTGTAATGGTAACTTCTACTCTGTGTTACTCAGTGTAAAAATTTTTGCAGGGATGCTGCTATTTTTTTGTAATCATGCACCTTCTTTAGCCTATAGACATCAGACAGAATATCTGCAAATCCACATTTGTTTTAAACTGACCCAGCAAACTTAGGTATTTTTTTTCCTTGTGGTGAAGTGACAACTGTTTTACTATTAACTTTTTCTGAGTGAGTCTAAGTCAGCTGTCAGACCGCCTGTTAGAGGGCTGTTCTGTAGTGACTCTGGGTGCATCTTTCTCCTTGATCTTCGTGTGACATTTCGGCAGTGGGGATTGCTGAAGATGTCTGAGTAGTGTCTGAAAAACCTTGACTGATTCTCTGTTGTTCAGCCTGGAGAAGGGGAGACCTCCCAGCACCTTGCAGTATCTAAAGGAGCTCCTTGAGAGCTGGAGAGGGTGTGCAGTGATGGGACAAGGGGGCATGGTTTGAAGCTGAAACAGGGAGGTTAAGATAGAAAAAGAGAAGTTCTTTGTTGTGAGGGTGGTGAGGCTCTGGAGCAGAGGAGTGGTTTCAGCCCTATCTCTGGAAGTGTTCAAGGCCAGCTTGGATGGGGCCCTCAGCAACCTGGTGTGATGGAAGGTGTCCCTGTACATGGCAGGGGGTTGGAATGAGATGAGTTGTAAGGATACTACAGAATGGTTAGAAAGCGTGATTTTATATATTATTCATGTGTTAATATATTATAGGATATTGCCTAAATGTATAACCCTTACATCATGTTTTAGGAGCACTGGAATTCCAATTTTTGTCTCTCAGCTGGACCTTGAATAAATACTTGGGTTATACAGATCACTTATTGATTGTAGAAAATTTAGTGTAAGTTAATATTGCTTGGTAATTTCAGAGTGGATATGAATATGAAGGAGGGCTATGAAACAGAAATCTACCCAGGTATCTTACTGTGGTGAGAGGGATGGGCCTAAACCTGATGAGAAATGACTTAAAATTTGTTTCCCTCAACTGGTAACTTTTGTTCTGCTGATTCATATGGAACAAGTGTTTTATGTTATGACTCTTCAATATAAAAGACATAGAGATTACAGCAGATGCTTTTAAACATTTATATTAGTGATTATGTATACCTTTGAATGTGTGTATTTTACTATACATTTGGTTGCAATGTTTTACTTAGGAGAAAAGAATTTATAAAAGCTGGGCCTACTTGGATAGGAGCTCAAAATTACCAGTCCAAATAGTGTTAATCAGAAGTTATCTTCTTGCTAGAGTTCATGATTAAAATTTAGCACATTGAAATAATCTGTGACTTAATCTGAACATCTGAATTCATTTTATAGAATATGGCAAACAGCTGCATTTCAGTTTGGAGCTAAAACAAATACAGTATATCTACCCATTGAAGATCACTGTAGGCTTTTCAGTTCCATGATAGCTGTGCTTACTGAAGAAAATTTATTTGAGAGTGCTTCTGCTTTTGAATTATCTTTTATTTTATTTTATTTTTTTAATGTCCGGAAGAAAGGAAATAGAACATACGGAGGATGGGACTTTGATGTGTAAAGAAGTTAATTATCTAAACCATCAAACAAAATGTGGGCTGTGGAATTAATTATTGTAAAGGGTCTGATGAAGCCTGACAAGCTGTTGGTTTTTTATGTCAAGAAAATGCTGTACACCTGCTTGATTTGAAAGTTAAATAGTTTGGTTGCAATAGGAGGACCCAAGTTTGTAGTGAAGCAGTAGCTGGTAAGTTTTCAGCTCTCAAACCACTGAGATGTAAAGCCCTTCAAATTTTTTTAATTGAACTGTTCTTGTCCTCTTGGAAGGCAGGAACATAAGAAGGGATTTGGTCTAGAATAGGACATGCATGAATCACAGGTCTTATGCTCTGAGGAGGCAGCTGTGGAATTGGGCCCCATGGTTTTTGGGAATTTTGGGAGAATGTTTCATAAATTAGCAGAACAGAACCTCGTGGACAAAGCACAATCTCTGTCATGGATGTTCAAAGAAAATAGTTATATGCTTCAAGTGATGTAATTAGTTTTAAAAAGCTCTAAATTAAAAAAAAAAAAAAAAACCTCCTTCAATCTTTGAATGTTTTTCAGTTTTTAATGTATACACTGTTAATTCTCTATTCAGGAGTATTGCTACTGTGGTATTGGCTATAAAAATATAGCTACTAAAATTAATCCTAATTAGTCCCAATAAAATGATGAACATTAAAATACATATATATTTCTAAATCTTTAGGCTGTTTCTGCTATGGTGGGTACAAAGGCAGCTTCCTCTTAACTCCCTTCCATGGGTGTATGAGGCTTTCCTATAAATGCAGGCACCTTTCTTTGTTTCTTGTTTTTTATTTTTTAAATTCTGTAATTTGACTGTTTAGTTTAGATGACTGGTAACTGCTGATTATGGCAGGATCATGACAACATTTAGCCTTGTGTGTAACTACTCATGTGATTAAAATCAGACTTGAGTGGGAGTAAACTTGTGATTCAAGTTACACATGTGCGTAAGTGCTTGCAGGATAGGGACCTAAATTAGAATCTGCCTGAAGATGAAGTGAAGTCTGATAATCTACATGAAAGCATTAATAAAAAAATTAAATTTATGACAACAAGTTGGGTGGGGTAGGGAGGCTGTACAAAGGGATCTGGAAGGGCTGGATTAATTGACCAAGGCCAGTTTTATGAGGTTCAACAAGTTCAAGTGCTGGATGCTGTACTTAAGTCACAATAACCTGGTGCAGTGCTGCTCACTGGGCAGAGTGGCTGAAAAGCTGCTCAGTGGGAAAGGACCTGGGGGTGCTGTTCAATAGCGGCTGAACCTGAGCCAGCTGTGCCCAGGTGGGCAAGAAGGCCAAAGGCACCTGGGCTGTGCCAGGCATGGTGTGGCAGCAGGGCCAGGGCAGTGACTGTCCCCTGTGCTGGGCACTGCTGAAGTCACCTCCAGGGCTGTGTGCAGTTCTGGGCCCCTCGGTTCAGGAAGGACATTGAGGGGCTGGAGCGTGTCCAGGGAAGGGAACGGAGCTGGAAAAGGTTCTGGAGCACAGGTCTGATGAGGAGCAGCTGAGGGAGCTGGGAAAGGGGCTCAGCCTGGAGAAGAGGAGGCTCAGGGGGGACCTTCTGGCTCTGCACAACTCCCAGACAGGAGGAGACAGCCAGGTGGGGTGGTGCCTTTCTCTTGAGTACAAAACTGTAGGAGAAGCGGAAACCGCCTCAAATTGTGCCAAGGGAGGTTCAGATAGTGGGAAAAACTTCTTCACAGAAAGAGTGGTGAAACACTGGAACGGGCTGCCCGGGGAAGTGGTGGAGTGGATTTCTGTTCTAGAGAGCAATCTTAGCATTTGAATTTTGAAATGGAGAGAGATAGAACCTCTTACAGCACAGCATGCTATAGCAGTATAAAGCTTTTATGGTCGCTGCTACTAATAGTGCAAGAAATGAGCAGTACAACTCAACTGTTACTGGTGTGTAGCAAACTAGAAGACTGAGAAATATAGTGAGAATATATCTTGTTTATCAGGGGATTTGCACAGTATGCAGTTTTGTATTAATTTTTTTGAAGGCAAAAATGAAACTCCCTTGTCCATATTAATGGAGTTTTCCATAATAAAATTTTAAAATTATTTTTAAAAAATTAAATATCTCAAAGCCATTTGACTTGCATATTATTAAAGAGGAAAATGTAGATTTATAATTACTTCACAGAATATAAGGAAAATTGTCCTGGATTTGCTTTGGAGTTCTTGAATGAGATATTTATATAGAAAAGCTGTAAAATACTTTGTGGAAAGATAGTACCTTCAGTGCTATGAGTATTCTCATGGTGGTCGGGTCTCACTCTTTCTAATGCCTTTCTGTTTTAAGAATTTAAGTTGTGTGTGTGAAGGGGGTGTTTTATAAAGGAAGTTTCTGATCTCTGTGCTCATAAAGTTTTAGCTGGCTTTTTGTGAGAATCTCTTTTACTCCTCTTGGCCTTGTTGGAGATGGTGTGGATGTGATTTACTGGTGGTTAGGCTATGCAGGAATATAAGAGGGCCCAGAGATTCTGGTGTCTGTGAATACCATCTATTCCTGAATAGTGGTGTTTTTGTCTTAATGCTTTTCCATACCTCTGAATTGTTATTTTAGAAATAGTACATGTTTCCAGTACTTTGGTTACAGTAAACATCAACTCAAGCTTTCTATTGCCTCACCTATTGCTTCTTTTTTGCATGCAGAACCTTTACCTTCCACGTCACTCCAAATACCTTTTCTTCCTTTTAAATATCTAGTGTGAAGTGTGTATGTGCTCTCTTGGAAATGAAATACAAGTGTTGTAAGTGCTGTTATGTCTTTGTTTACCCAGATGAGCAGCACTGTGGCCAGTCCGATGTCAGCAGTTGCCTCTTCGAGCAGTGGAAGAAAATCAACAAGCTTTACACTTGAATTGCAGAGTATGATGTGAGTAGTCAGTCAAACTATCTGGCAGTATCTGCATTGTGTATTCATATTTTAGTTGATTTCTTAGAATGTGTGAGTAAGGGTGATGGAGGAAAGAAGAGCAGGTGTTAGTGATGGAGCTGTTAGTGTTTTACTTCTGATTTGTAAAACATTCAGAGATGACTTGGGTAAATAAAACCCACATCCTCTATTGAAATGACAGTAAATGCTGCTGAGTAAAGAAATATGTTTTTAATATTTACTTTAGAAGTCTTTAGAGTCCTGTATTTCTCAGCCCTTCATCAAAGAAAGCTAAGCTTCCAGTTGTCACAGATATGTTTTTGAGCATTTTGATGTTTTTTAACATCCTTCAGTGCTAATACAGAGAGATAAACTGCTGAGATCATTATTGCTGATGAACATTATTGCTGAGATCAATATTGCTGATGAAATTGTGATACGGAATGCTTGTAAATAACTGGAGTTTGCCAGACAGGAAGCAAATTTTAAAAAAAAAAAGTTACTTATTCTTTTAAATGAACGCTGGATTCTCAGAAACACAGAATCTCAAGCTGTGAGATTATATGATTTTGTAATTTGGTGGTGAGAGTAAAAGCTGTGCTGCTTCTAGTCATATGTTGTAGGTTTGCCTTCACTGTTGTATAACAATTTCTCACCTGATTTACTGCATGGGCAGTGGATGCATAAGGAGTTACTTGTCTCCGTTTAAATTCTACCAAGAGTTCCCTTTGCAAAAGTGAAAGATGTAATATGTTTTCAGTTAAGTGTCCTTATGAGATCACTAGGTTGTTGTCAGATGGATAATGAGATACCTTCCACTGAGAGTACTTTTCAGTATAATGTAAATAAGAGCGTTTCCTTGTGCATTGAATCTTCTAATATAGATGAGTACATTGTGACATCAGTGTTCTACTGTATTGCGTCTTCTTTGGATAGAATAATATTACTGCTCTCTCTTCTTCAAGAGAATTCTGTTTGCTATTTGTTCACATCTCTTAAGGTCATCTATTCTGAAAAATAAAACTGTTGTTCTTGGTTGAGAAAAATAAATGTAACTGTATTTAAAAAACCAAACTTCAGAGTCAAATCCTGTACATCAGTTTGGATCAGTGTCTGGGGAGCCTGCATTTTATTGGATTGTGGACTTCCTGATAAAGTGTTTTGAAACTCCCCTTCCCCGCCAGTGTACACACAGTTCTGTCAGAATGCAGAAGTTATTGTTGGCCATATATATGGAAGGAATAGATATTTTCCTTTTGCTTCAGAATTGGTGCAGTTATCCTTTGAAAGCTGTGCAAACAGATCATCTGTGTCCAGAGTAACATATTTCACAGCTTCATTAAACTAGTAGGAACTGAGGAAATTCCTTGACTGCAATGAGCACATTGAAACTTAAATTTTTATTGTTTGCTGTGGAAGAAAAAAAAGGAGACTTTTAAAAATGATAGAGTGCCAGGGATGAACCATGCAGAAAAAAAAGACAACTGTTTCCTTTGGCCAGGGCTATAAAATTAAGTTATGCCTTTAAAAGAACTTTCTGTGCTCTGACAGAAGCTGACATTTTTTATAAACGATGTGATTTAGGAAGTTACGGATTCTCCCGTTTAGGCGATTTATAACAAATTCTTGCTGACATTTTAAGATCCTGGGAAATAGCTAAGACTGGAGCAATGCAGTGCAAAAGAGGTAACATCTTCTTAAAGAAAAGAAAACAGAGGCTATCTCTACCTAATTTCTTATTTTCAAGAGAAGGATCACCTATTTGCTGTAGTTTTTATGGAGTAATATGAAGAGTAACTTAACTGGCCCTGCCTTTCTCAACAAAACATGTGCAGCAAGAAGATGAACTTTTGAGAAATAAGTCATATAGAGACATTAAGTGCTAATCCAGAATGTCATGTAGTAGTTTGTGTTGCATTTAAAAATGGGCTGTTGGATTTTAGGATTTAAAAGGCAGAAAGAAGAGAAAGTCTGTTTTTGGAGTAAAATATCAAATCCTGTTCTAATCCAGTGGCAAGATCTGGAAATCTCTGGATAAGAATATCTCATGGTCTGAAGGTGATATCTTTGATTAGTGCGTAATTTGCAGCACGGAAGTGTTGAGCCGGGGTTTGATTCCATGGAATGTTTAAATTTACATGTAATGTTAAGCTTGTGAGTAATCACACTTAAGGTGAGGAGGTTATTCATGTGCTACATCTGTTCCATACACTACACCTCTTTTTGAACCATGGCATTTTAAGGGAATGAACTGAATCCTGTTGTAAAATTGTGTTTTTATGATAAGCTCAGAAGGGTTTTTCTGATTTATTTGAGAAGGCAAGAAGTATACAGGAGCCTTGAAATCACAAAATAATGCAAAAAAAGCTGTCTCAAAATGCGTACAAGTTTTTCAGTGTATACATAGATACTTTACTAATGAAATTATTCTGGTTTTCCATTAAGAATATTTAAGATATGTCCTTGGATTTGAAGAAATCTTTTTGTTTGTTGAGAAAAGAATCTGGTTTGTATGATGCCTGAATAGTGCTGTGTAATTGGTGATACTGTATGTGCTGATTATCTTGAGAAGAATGCTTCTTAATCAGATTGTCACAAATCATCCAAACACAAGTCAATTTGCAATGCACTCCCTTTTGCGTAGTTACATTTGGCTTTTAATTGTTTAGCCCTTGGAATTAAATTATGTTTCTGTTATACTAATTTAAAAGAGAAAAGTGCTATGTAGAGCTTGCTTCAACTTCTACATTATTTGTACTTGGATTTTTTGTTATGGTACCACGGAGTGTACAGCAGTAGGTGTTAATAATTTTAAAAAAGAGTTTTCAGCACATCTAGTGCATTTTGCTGATGTTTCTTTTACTAACTTTGGCTGATCTACAGCCTGTTTCCAAGCTAACTGCTCATGTTAGGTGGGTTACACTTAAATTACAGTTCTGCCCAACAGATTCACAACCATGCTGATTTCACCGTAGCCATTAAAATTCATAATTTGGTAGAGATCATCTATTTTGTAGTATAAGCACTAGTTGCAGAGTGAATTTCTGGAACCCGTGACAGTCCAAAAATTGCAGCTACACAAGGAGGTTTTTAACTCCCCTCAGTAAAATGCCTTGACTTCTCAAAGCTATCTTAGATATTTACAAAAATTTTAATTACTATTATCTGAAGTTTCTTAATTAGCTCTTGTGACATGCTTCATACCAAAAATCAAATTTTGATGGTATAGGGTTGTAAGGATACATTTTAATGGTGAAAGTATTGAGGAAAACAGTGTTTTAATTTGGTTTAAATTTTAAAAATTTTAATTTGGTGTAAACTTTCTGGTTATTGACAGTATTTGCAGAGATGAGTATTAAAACAATAATATTCATTGCTATGATATCAAATTACTGCTCCTAATTGATTGTGTCTTTCCAGACAGTCAAAATGTCTTCAGGTATTTCAAATGCAGTTCCCTACTCATCTTCCTCCAGCTTGTAGCTTACACTCACCTCTGTTACACTTCTGTGTTGTGCTAGTGTGTAATAGAGTTACTAATAAATTCTTCATATTCCCTTTTTTAATGAATATAATATTTATAATCTTTTTTTTCCAATAGGAATTGGGGCCAGTTCTTAAATCTTTATTACGGCTTTTTGAACCTGTCTCCCTGACTCTTGGGATATTTACGTTATCTCTGTTACTAAAGCATTTAATGGTTTTGCAATATTGTCAATAATATTTCCCATTTTAGACTGGGTAGTAAATAGTGATTCTAGACCTCTGGTCACTCAAGGAGTATCTAGAATAAATGTATTTTTATTTCAGGCTTGCAAACACTGCATGTTATTTTTTTTTCCTAAATAAGGCATGAGCTATAAAATATCCTATTTATTACCTGTTGCAACCTTGCAAACTTGTCAATCAAATAAGTTGTCTTTAGGGGTTTTACTTAATTAGGATTTCTCATCCATTCAGAGATGACAACATCTTAGGGAATATCATCCTACATTTTTAAATGTGCATTGAAATAACAGGAAGGATGGCCTCTGAACTGATCTGTCCTCCTGCCAATGAATTTGGATAACCTCTGCTGACTTGAGTTGAATTACAGTTTGTTCACCACTGAATCCCTGGAAGATCTCATTGATTTCTTCTAATATCTGGTGCTAAATTTATTTTCATATTCAGAAATGAAAATTCTGTTTAACAATAGTTCTTACATATGGTAAAACAGTGTTTTCTTATCAGTTAGAAAGTTCAGGGAACTTTCTGTTGCTCAGTGCTGAAGAAATGCCCACTGCATGTAGCAGTAAAGAAATGCTGTGATTCCGGAGCTGTGCTTTGCTAGACTGGTTTGTATTTGTGTGTTAATCCAGTTGTGAATACCATAATTACTCAAATGCTTCAAGTTACTCACATTACATGCTAACAAAAGAAAGATACACAATATGCATTTTGGGTTGTTTACATGAGCACTGAACATTTTACCCAAAGGGTTGCACTAGGTGATTTACTAAGATAGCTTTTAAAATATATTCTCTGATTTCTAGATACTGTACAAAATCTTTGGCATTCTTGCTAGTTGTTATGGTCAGCCGGGTACCGGGTTTTTGATAAACATCTTACTTTGTTATCTAATCTTCAAAACACAAATGGCTTTCTTACATATCTTTGTTACAATTGGTTTTGTTGCTGCAAGTCCAGTTTACATTTGTTAAACTATGTCCTTGATTATTTTGTTGTTTTATTCTTTTATTTTTCTGTTATTTCTAAATGTGTCAGCTTGACTCACCCTATAAGGCAGATACAAGTATGGGAACTGCCATTTCCCTCATGCCTGGTTCCTCATGAGGTTTCACCTCATGCCAGGTTCAGTTCTTCCCCAGGAAAAAGTTTTTAGAGTGTTGGCTTTCATATGTCTTAGGTTTCATGGTCCGCTGAGCTCATGCGGACCTCAATTCTACTTGAAACAAGTAAATGATTATAGAGACTAGGAAGTTATGCTGAATAGACAG